CTATACAGCATTTTCAAAAGGTTGACAATTTTCTCCGACATACCATACTTTAAACAGACTTTCCACAGTAATTCTCGATTGACAGAATCATATGCTTTTGTAATATCAATAAAACACATAAACAATGGTTTATTGAGCTCTCTTCTCTTCTCCATAGTAGTTTTTAATGTGAAGATCTGATCCATAGTGGATCTTTGTGCTCTAAATCCAGCTTGAGCTTCTAATAGTTGATGATCAATCATATTTTGAATACGGTTCAAAATCAAACGAGAAAATATTTTGCTTGTTACGTTTAACAACGAAATACCTCTGTAATTATCACACAGTTGTTTTTCACCTTTCTTATACAGTCGAATAAGAAGAGCCAAGCTCCAGTCTTCCACCATCTCCTCATTCTTCCACACATCAGTGAAAATCTCAAACAGCCAGCGAATAACTGGCTCACCGCCAGCTTTGAGCAAGTCTGCTGTAACTTCGTCACTGCCAGGAGCTTTCCTTGATTTCATTTGCTTTACTGCTCTTCTAACTTCTTCTACAGTTGGATTAGCATTCTGTCTCTCTACCTCTTCCTTAGTCAATGTCTTTACTTGAATTTCATCAATCAATTGTTGATCAACCGTTGATGGTACATTGAGTAATTCACTGAAATATTCTCGCCATCTTTCAAGTCGATCCGATGAATTCAAAATTAAACTGCCATTTCGATCTTTGATTGGTATATTTTCTATTCGTTTACTACCCCCACGTAAGCGTCTAATGAGAGAGAATGCCATAGCTGGGTCATTTCTTTGTACAGATGATTCAATTTCTTCGCATATCTGATCCCAGTACTCAATTTAACGTTCATCATAATGAGGAGGTATGTAGCGATATAAATGTTCTTCACATATCTCTATTTGTTTTTCAACAACTTTAATTTTTATTATGAAGATGGACTCTAGTGTGAAGAAGAACAAGTAAATCTGAGCAGATTTCGAAAATTCGACCACTAACCTTTTTTATCAGCAATATATTTCTACTGCTCTCACATTTGGTTTCTTTGCTCAACTTGGTTTCCTTGCATATACGTTCTCATATTTTTTCTAATGGCTCATATGACTAAGATTTTTCCTTGTCTTCAATATCACGGTAGAACTGGCTATACCAAGAGTTTTATGTTTACAACAAGTCGCATGACGATGATGATCTGGTGATGGATAACAAAATAACTAGCCGATTCATAAGCCTTTTTCAATAAATTTTGTATACGATGAATCGTTGGATAACATAATTATAGAGTAACAGATTGAAACGTGTATTTTGTTTAAAACGAGAATTTGGAATAAACGGCGCCGTAATAGACGAAATAGGAATAGAACTGCAGTTTGACTGTTTGAATTAGGAGGAAGATTTACTGATTTAGCTCACATTACGAGAAGTATCTCAGTTCAACAACTCCTAATACGTGAAATGGTACCACTTCATCAGCAAGAACAAATGTTTTTTTGTTGTTTATATATATATTTTGGATGTTTTATTTTACGTAGTGATTGTTTGTTAATAAATGTTGTAGTTGCTCCAGTATTTATGAGGATGCGCATTTTACAGTGATTAACGGGTGGGCTGATGAAGATTAAAGATGATTTTAATGGATTTTGTTTGTTATGGTCGGAGTCCACACCATCACGGTGTGGACGATACGTAGTTTTTTAGTAAAAACTTACCATTGAAAAGCCGAAAAATTGTACTTTCCTTTTAAGAGCCATTGCCATAGTCATGAACATGTGAGAAACGAGTACACCTCTATCATAAGCTATGAATTATTTTCGTACAAGACCCTTAGCTGTTGTACAAATGAGCTCAAAAGTCGGTAAGATATGAAAAATGGTCAGTTTTAAAGATCGATTTTCTCGTCCAACTTCGGATTCTTCAGTTCATAACCTTTGAGCTCTAGAAAATCTGGTGAATCGAACCGAAAAAACTGAAGTTGAACCTGCCATAAATTTGAAAGCATGATGTGATAGCCTGACTTAAGTATTCATGATTGATATACGAAATCTCGAGAGGTATCGGACGAGGAAATCGATCTTTACAACTGACCATTTTATATATATTTGCCACTATCAAACTCATTTGTACAACAGCTAAGGGGGGTAATAGTAAAACATGAAGACACCCGCAGACAGAGCACAGACATCCATGGATGTCTGTGTTTGGATATACGTGTAGCTGTCTGTGGTTGTATATGTGCAATTCAGAAATTCTCTGAAAATTTTCTACATGGGTTAGATAGCCCCACGAATTGTGCAAAATTCGGTAGTAGGGAAGCTGATGTTGTTACTATGTTTGACTTCGATTATGCTCTAAGTCTGTTAGGATCTCAAATTGATGATATTAATCTATTAAATGAGATGATGACACACAGACCTAGAGGTTATTCCCAATTCTCAATATCGTTTCGTTTCTTTATATTCATCCATTACACGAGCTAAAAGTTATTTAATTATTATGAGTAAAGAATTTTGTGAGTTCACACTAGTAGATAATCCCATACTAAAAAGTGCAACGAACGGCTCAAGAGAAATGCGCCCGAAGTGACCTAAAAATAGTTTCGAAATATCTGCTCCTTGGAATAGTTTTACAGCTTTTTGAATAATATTTTACCAAATCAGACGAAACTAATGAAAAAATTGAAACTTAGTAATTTTTTTTGCTGCTTGTCATGCAGATAATTCCATTCGACTTTTTAAGAGACTGATTTATTTGTTCTCGAATCATATCTTTAAGAATATGAACCTTCTCCTCAGCTGCGTTACAGTTTCGAATAAGAATATCAAAAGGAGTTATACTAAATTTCTTATTAATAGAATCTCAATCGGCTGTCTTGTAATCGTAGATTTTGTTTTCAATATTATTTCTAGTCTCAACGTTAGTTGCAGAAAGATATGAATGAAGTTTAGTCACTTGTACGGAGAACTGGAAGTCTATTCAATGTAGTCGTTGAATGTTTAATATCTATAATTAACAAATCTAAGCATATCCGCCATTTCGATCGAGTGACTGCGGAAACTATTTAGTATAAGTTATGCGGTTTGATAAAATAAAAGCGTAGCGGTCCTTCATGAACTGACAGTTTTTCGTTGCATCATACTTGGTTATGAGCATCAAAGTCTCAACACAATTTATTAGTTTTATATTTAGAAGAGTGAAATTTGATTAATACCTTCACAAGATAATCCAGCCATGGTTTCTACTTAACCTGAAGATTCAGGTCGATAATCTAAAATAACAACTAAATTTTGATTTACAGTTTTACAGTCGCGAGAAAAATTTTCCGTGCAATCCAAGATTTTTTTGTTCCATTCGAGTTTTTAATGATATGCCACCTTTACCTTTTATAAGTATTCTCAGACTTCTTCCTTCAAAACCTTAGGATTGTCGGCAGATGTAAACTTCAAACGAACAAACATGCGCCGCATGAACGAATATATACACTCTCCTAACACTTTTGAGGGTGAAAGAAGTAAGAAAAGAAGTACATAGAATTATATGGCAGCTACGTGTGTTATTGATGATACCAACTAACATTTTTCTTCTCATTTTCAACAAAATGAAAAAACAGTGTTATATTAGCTACTTATTTCTTACTTCTGCTTAGTCCATATCTGCTTATATATAGATAAACAATAGGTGAAACATTGCCGTTGGACATGAGAATGGAGAACCATTGGTTGAATAAACGATACGACCAGTAGAAGATCCGACAAACCATTTTGTATCCGGTTATTTCCCAAGTCTGCGGAGGATTGAATATAGGAAACACAAAATTAGCAGTCGATATTCTTTGTCGTAGTATACTCGACCCTGATGGTGTCGACAAATCCATGCTGCCAAGGTTCAACGTTGATAGATTAGTTTTCTCTCTACTCGCTAAAACTGTCATAATGACCTTTCTTTATCGAGAAATCCATGTCCAATTTCTTCTTGAACTCATATTATCAAAAGATATTTAGAGGCCATCAAAGCTTCGTCAAATCTTTCGAAATCATCGAGAATTGCTTCTCTTTAGAGTTGTGCTCTTTCTCGACAAAGATCTAAGATTATGTTGAGGTACAAACCTCATTTTATTTTCGAATATCCCCATCTATTATCAATACAAAATGCTCTTATCTAGAACATAAGTGGTTCAAGGTCTATCTATAGTTTATACCGTATGTGGCTGTGCCTTAGCACTAGTGCAGACATATACAAGAATAGCGCTTGGAGTGTCGAACGTCTTGTCAACTTTTTCCTATAATATGAAGAACTTCTGATTTAAATGTTATTATTGTTACTTGCTAAACAACTAAAATTTCCATCAAGTATGTCTGCGTACAAGATAAAGGTGCTTAAGGTTAAAACAATTCTAAGAGTCGGTAACATAAATTATACTATCTCTTCGAAGATAGCGTAATCTTGAACTTTTTAACAGCGTTTCATATGTCAGCCATCCGATAAGATCATTGAATGTTCTAACACACAATGTTCAAGGAATGGCTAGACATTTTCTGCTCGTCTTTAGTGGTACTGAGCATAGTCGAGATGAGTATTGGATAAAAATTTCAGTCAGATTCATTGATCAACAAAAAGTTATAAGAATTTCACGTATTGAATAACGATCGTCTAATGCCAGCGCAATTCAATCAAGTATGAGGTAGTTATTATATTAACTTAATATGAGTAGTTAATTAATAGTAGACAACAAAAGCTTTTTATATAATTTATTATCGACCAAGCTCATTCGTTATGTAATATTTTAATAGTCGATTACCTATGAAAGTTTTTCAGCTTTAAGTATTAATATTTATGAAAATGTTTTCTGAAGTTTTCCTGAAAATTTTTTGGAGATCCTCTGGAGACGTCATGCATACGTCCATCGGCTATGCAACATTCGATTACCTAGTTGTACATTTTTGCTGCATTCAAATCTGAATATTTCTTGAAAGTTATTTTGAAATATTTATTATTTTCAACAATTTTAATTTTTTAATTTTTGAGAATTTTAATTTTAATTTTAAACAACTGATAGAAAAAATTATTTTTCTCCCCAATAATAGTTTTACACATTAACACTCATATATTATAAAAATATATTTAATTTTGATAATTTAATAAGTCAAGCAGTTTTATAAGGCTTTTAATTTTTTTTAAAAAGATTTAAAAAAACTACATTTAAAAAACGTATGACACGAATATTATTCAAAATAAACGTTTTTTTGCAAAATTTTGATCTATGGTTTCTTTATTGCTCTCATGAAATTTTTGATGAGAAAAACTTTTTTCTAACGCCTACGTCAAACTGAAAACAAGAAGTAAAATTAAGAAAAAGAACAATTTTGCAATGGCAAATAAACATGTATAGACAGGTACAATACATTTTTTTTTCTGAAAAACTACTGGTTAGAAATAATTGATTATTGAGATAGTTTTCGTTTTTTTCTACTCAAACAATTTTATTTAATGGTACATGAAAAGTTAGATATAAATCTAAAGCTTTTACAAATGTTTAGCAGTCTATTTACGAAATTTTCACAATTGAAAGTATGAACAATGTTTTGGATTTATGCAACAAAACATTTCATACATTTTACATTGAATCATGAACAAATCAATCATCTTTTGTTTTTGGAATTTTTACTTCTATATTAAACACAAAATAAATTATGTCATAATCTAGAAATGCAGTAATTCGTTCAAATAAAAAACCTTTATTTTTGAAAAGTATCAATCAACAACAAGAAAATTAAAATCTGACCCTGGTCCATGATTAAGACCGTCGTATACAGTGGTATACGTCAAATTAAGTAGTCGTAATTGACGTATACGTAGTATCTCATCGTATTTTGACATAAACCCGACCAACATATTCCGTTAGCCGTTACGACGTTCGTATTTCGTCGTATTTCAACGTAAACGACGTCGTTTACGATGGACGTAATACGTTGGCCAAGTTTACGTCAAAATACGACGAATATCCATATATATATACGGTCGTGAATCTTTGACTTGGGGAAACAGTAAAACTCACAGAACAAAAAATCCTATTTAATATGACTTGATATGAATTCGTAATTTTTACTACCATTTGACAATAATTGATATGATTGGAAACATAATATAAATCAAAACAATGTACAAAATGTATGTTAAATATTTTTCTTTTATTTATTTGTTTGCCTTTTCTTTAATTCAACTTCAATATTTTGTAAATCCAATGTTGATGTGGATCCAGTTCATGAAGATGTTTGACATGATATTTGGCATCTAAACAAGAATGAGTATGTAATTCTTTTAATGTATTACCTTCACTAAATAATTTTCCTCCTGGAATAATTGCAGATGCACAATAACCTTCGTCTTCGTCAATAATATATTCAAAGATGAGTTTTGACATTAATTGTGAAAATAATAAAAAACGTGTTGTAAAGTTTTAATAATCTCTAAACAAAAATGTACACATTATTATAAAATGTTTGTACAGTCAAGACGAAGTTAAATAAAAATATTGACTGGTTTAGAAATGTAACATATGTAGAAAAATATTGTCGAAAAGCAATAGCAATCAAAACAAAAGAAAAAAAACTGACCAAATGAAAATCAAACCCAAAAGCTGTACGAAAGTTGTTTCATTTATACTTATAGTATCACTTATACTTTGAAAACCTAGAATAAGATCGATCCATAAATAACAATAACGGCGCACATAAAAGCTATTTTTTCGATTTTAAAAGATATGTTTTCGATTTAACTCTTGTCGTGAGAGTGCAGCCTTACCAAACAGGTCAAATCATTTCCTTATAGTACGTGGTCTCTTGACATGAAGCAGTGGGAGAACAGCCAATCAACAGCCAATGCGCCTAAAAAAAGTGACTGATTTTTTTTTGCGGAATTTTATCTAGTACATATTATAGCTGATATCAAGATCTTTTAGAATATATATTCAGAGTTCTCTTAACAAAAGCCGTTACTGAGATATCAGTGGTTTTCCGAAAACTGTTTGTCATGGCAACAGCGTTAAAATTCTTCGAGTTATTGAAGTGCTCGGTTAATACGCTAATTTTTGTCACAATTTTGGATCTCCATATTATTGTCCAACCAAAAAAAATGATGGAATGGTCCACAGGTTCTGAAGATGGCTCCTTAATCTCATTTGTTTATGTAAGATCGATTTTTCGAAAACCACTGATATCTCAGTAACGGCTTCTGGTAAGAGAACTCTGAAGATTCCAAATATGCTGACAATTCAAAACGTGCTGGCACGTTTTGACACGTACGGCACATTGACACGTACGTTTGATTATAAGTCCGGACAATTCGTCTGGACTTATAATCAAACGTAACTCAGCCCTGCCATCAATTTCCTGAAAGTCTCAGGACTAGTGAGAGATGATCGGTGGGAACTGTGACGATAATCGAAACATAATTTATCAGGCACGCTAAGACCTCAGCTAGCGTTTACTTTTATTAAAGTTTTTAAAAACTAACGAAACCTTGCCTTCGATAAAGGACGAGGTGCAAAAAGAACGAGAATCGGTTCCATTCAAAATTTTCTCGAAAAGTTTCCAGAATGAAAGAGCATGTGATTTTATGATGCTCTAGACCCTTGGTTGCCCTTCCAAGTTGATACCTGTAAGAAAATCGATTAGGTTTGAACAATATTTTCGCAAACTGATTGCTATGTGTTTTTGGTAAAAAAGCTCATGTTTTAACAGTAATATTAAAAATAGTCGGTGTTCACAGTGTACATGACAACTGAGCAAGAGATAGTTTTGGTCTCCGTGTAAAGTTGCATCCAATGATATATGAAACTTTCCTTCAAAGTTATTTCATTCTATGGAAACTACCAAAAACACATAGCAATGAGTTTGCGAAGATAATGTTGTATTCAAACCTGATCGGTTTTCTTACAGATATCAACTTGGAAGGGTAACCAAGGGTCTAGAACACCATAAAATCACACGCTCTTTCGTTCGGGAAACTTTTCGAGAAAATTTTGAATGGGACCAATTCTCGTTCTTATTACACGTCTCCTCTGGCCATTTTTTACTATTTTCATATTTTTGAAGTGCTTTGAAAGTGTAAAACAGCAAAAATCTTCTTTTTGATTTCTGTTTTTTCTGCAGATACACATCACTATAGAACTTTAAAGAGATTTTTAAGATGCAAGAATAATTAATTTTCTCAAAGATTTTTCATCTACTTTCAGTATGATTGTAGAAGCTCGGGAGAATAAAATGAATGGCGATGACTTTGCTCGTTCGTTTACCGGAAGCCTGAAACCTGAAACCTTATTCGTTTGGCTTACAACTGTGGAAAATCATTTAAGGTAAAAGGTAGCGGATTGGTTCTAAATCTCATGAAAAAGAAAGACACCATTAGAGCACGTTTTATCAGCAGTTCCAAAAGTAGGAAAAGATGCCAAAAACTGTAAAACACAACTTGCGATTGCACATATCCATCATACCACTAATTAAATTAGTAGGAATTGTCATATGAGAAGGATCTGTTAGATTCATTGCTTTTTTCAAAAAGGCTTTCTTTGTTTGTGATTTTCACCGTCATATTTCACATTTCTAAACTAAACTTTCACACTAACACCTATTGTACTATCTTAGAATTTAGGCTATTTAGACGACGAATTTGATATGAAGTACATTTTCGATGAACGCTCTATTGTTGGTAAATAGCACCAAGAGCCCCGTTCAGTGATTAAAAAATAAAAGAATTCAACTCTTACCATGATTATTCTTAAGGGATTTAGCAGTTTTTGCCATCATTTAGCAGAAAGTAATTTACACGTTAAGAATGATGAGAGCAATACTAAGGGCTGTTTCTTATCAATCGAATATGTTAGTTCACACAATGACTAACAATAATACCGTTATCACACAAAATTGTCATATTAGCCTTTACGAGCAATTTGTGGTAGGTTAATACAGATTCAGTCCCGATTCGTCGACACTAACTCTCACACCGCCCCTCCCGCCTTTGAAATTCTTTGATGTATTTTCTTTGAAGTGTCCGATTTGTCGACGAATCAGGACGATACCGTTAATATAGTTTCAAACATTCTATTATAGGCTTATCTTTCCTTAATTCATTATGTAACTAAAATTGATCTGTTCTATTTTCTAGCAATGTATCAAAGAATTAGATGCCTCTGATGATACAGCACAGTGGGCATCCAAGCGGACATTAGGCGAAAAAGTCGATTTGTTCTTTTTCCAAATATAAATAGTGTAAAATGTAGCGCTTTGAATTCCCTATCGAATGGTGTATGAATGTCTATTTTGATGTTCACTCCTAAGTGGAGAAAGAAGGACACGAAAACTGCAATACGAATATCGAAAACCATGACATGTATGCACAAAANAGGATATATTCGGAATCAGCATGTCCTTACCTATCTATTGATATAAAAATGTCTACATTTCCATATCGAATTCACTAAAGAATCGGTAATGGAGTATACCCACTTTCATTCGAACTGACACGACCTCCATATAGTCGAGTTCCACGATTTTCCTGTCCTCGAAAATAACAATAAAATATATCAATATGTTTCCGAACACCCACTCTATCTACAGTGCATGCGACTTTTTGCGACTTTTTATCTAAGTCGAATTATCGATTTTTCAAAACCCATACGGTTTTCCGATCGATGATGATGATGATGATGATTTTGGTTAGGTTTGCCTACTATCCGTAGGGAAATTTTACGACTTTCGGGTACTCCTGACTAAAAATGAGGCTTTGTCTAGGATCTTATGAGAAAATTCGTAGACCTCCTTCTAGAGTTCCTGTTTTCTATTAGCATTGATCGGGGCGCAATAGTGAAACTGCTTAAGTCTTGGATTAATAACCGGGATTAATATGAAGTAGAATCAGTCGGCCAATATTTTGCGGTATGATACGATTCTGCGACAAACGTGTAAATTTAGTTCATCTGTGACATATTTCTTCCACTAAAATTTCATAACTGCTTAAACTTTGTCGGCTTATATAAACTTCTTAATTTAAAAGAACAAATTGGATTGCTGTTTTCGTGATAAAAAAAAGTGTGTGAAAAATTAGCTATACATAATCAAGTAAGCAATCTTCTTTTATTTATACAAAATATTTAGAAAAAATTTATACGGAACACTCATTTAGACTTTAATTCAACTGACTCACATTCTGAATAACTGTAAATAAAATTCACAGTACAGTAAAACAACGAAAAAGTATTTGTATTTAAGTAAAACATAATCAAGACAAGCCGGTACTGACCGGTATATCGATGAACAGTATACCGGCCGGTACCGGTATGAAGTTTGTATATTGGTGGCCGGTCCGGGTATCGCAATTTTGATACCGGTTACACCCCTGTTTCATATGGAAGATGTCGAACGCAACTTACACGGAAATCGCGGATAGCTCCGACACGGATATCGTGATGACAACGAAAAGTAGTAATCCATGCAGGGGACATGATGATCTCCGATGAACCAGGATTATAAGATTTGTTTGTGATCTAAAAGTAAACTAACATCTACTATTGTCTATTAAAAAAAAGAATGGGCATGACTACTTTTTCAATACCTTTTGAAAAATGCATTTTGATGACTTGCGGCTTTCAGTATCGCATAGAGGAGATACTTGGCTTGAAGATGACATAAAAATATCTTAGAAAATACCACTTGCAGGTGTTGTACGTTATCTAGGGATGCACCAAACCCGATTATTTGTGTTTGGTGGGTTTATGTTTGGTGAAGATTTGGGGTTTGGGGTTTGTGACCCCAAAACGTTTGGGTTTGGTTTGGTCACCAAACCCAGCGAAAGTCTTATTATCGTTAGTAAGCTGCTAGACATATGCCTATAATAAATTTCAGTCGATCATCTTATTCTTACATATTTGTCATAGTAGAATACGTTCTTGCTTACTTCTTTCCTCGACCTTCGTCCTTGCTCTTAAATCAATCGAGAATGAAGAAGACAGAAATGCGTTCTCACTCCTTCCTTAATAGACTTTCTTCATTATTAGAGCTTTTGCTTCATTATAAAACGCGCTAAAAGTTACTATATGTGTTCGAGGAGAGGAGCTCAAGCGATTGAGCGAAAGAACTCTGAATCAGGCTGGGCTTCTGCCCGGAGCTACAGCTAGTATTAGTTGTAGGGAAAATATCGGGCTTAGGAAACTGTCTCCGGACCTCATCCTATACTGCAAGGTAGCCGAAAGCCGAGTATTCTTCCTTCTTCCAAACACACAAAACCATATGCAATATTTCTGGGAAGTAAACACGATTCTTCTAAAGACCACTTTTTCAAAATTTATTATGTTTTATTGCTAAAACTATTGCCATAGAAGTATAGAAAAAACTATGGTTGTGTTAATGCTATTACCTGTCCAGTTATTGGTGTACTTAGTTTATCTTTCAAAAATACTGATAAACTTAAAGGCTCTGGACTTAATCTTGCTCTTGCTTTACGGTCGTAAAATGAAGATAAGCTAAATGCACTTTCTGATGCGACACTTGTACTAGGAACTGCCAAAAACTTTTTGGATATTTGTGCGAGTATAGGTAACACAGTTTCGTTCAATTTCCAAAACAATAATGGTTTTTTCCCGTGTTCTTCATTTAATGATTTTAATGCTAGTGCTTTATAATCTTTTAACTCTTCTGCTAATGACGTGATTGCGCTGGGGTAAGATTCACTATTGACGCATTCTAAAAATTGCTGAAATATACTTGGTTTAATTTTTTTCATTTTAACATTGTTTTTTCTTTGTGGTTGTTGTTATTGGAGTAGAACGTGATCCTTGTATTTGCGTGGTTTTACACTCAGCGCCGTACTTTTGTTTAATTTCTCGCTGAACAGCGGCACGTTCATCCATCTTCATCACTGATAAGCTAATCGGATCGAAATAAGAATAGAACTAAACAAATTGAACAAAAAAATCAGCTATAGGAAGATAAAGAGTCTCGTTTCAATAAAAACTAATAGGTAAGATTCTGGGAAACTGTATAACTTCTGTTCAAGTTTATGAATTGAATTTTGAACATAATCTCAGCTATATAGTGAGAGGACCGATCGCTCGACTATTAAAATGCAGTTGACTGGTTACTACAGTTATTACATAACCTTCTCTCTTTCAGTTGAAGCGGCCATAAATCCAGTATAAAGTTTCTTTTCTTTCCATTAGACACTCGGAGAATTTTATTTTTTCAGTTACTTTTAATGTTCTCCATTGATCAGTATCATTCACAGTATATTGTTTCAATCGTAGTAATAAACGTTTTTTTAAACTTTTCAATAAATCTTCATAATTTTGTGTATTTTCAAGAAATCTGTGACTGTTTAGCCAATTGTAGGATAATGATAGCCGCTAATTAGTTTCGTTGCTACAAAGAATGATTTTAGGACAGTCAACAACAAATTAATCATATTCCAACATTCGCTGGTTACTTCATAAGATGCTAATCGTTTACGTTGTTTTACTGCTACGCCGATTTTATGTTTATCTTCAAACATTTCATTCAATATTAGTCTAAACATCTTTAATATATGAATTCCATCTTCTTCTTGTTCGTTTCGAATTTGTTTTACTATTTCAAAATCATTTTCTATCGCTTCTAATAAAATAAACTGACCAGTTCCTTTATTTCCTGTTCTTGATGTTCTTCCAACGTTTTGTTGTTCAGCTCTTTCATTTGGCGGTAAAAATGTAACACACACAACAAATGTAATCCACCATTTTTTTTGAATTTTTTCAGCTCGTATATCAGTTTCTCTACCGGCAATATTTGTTGCAATAATTATTTCACCAGGTTTTAATTCTTCTTTAATAATTTTTGAATCGATTTCTGTTCTATAAATTTTTATTTTTGTTTTATCATATTCTGCTGTTATTAATCTATTTTTAATTTCATCAACTTCTTTTATATATTTTGTAATAATTAAAACTCCTCGGCCATTAATCAATTTATTTATTGAACTTTCAACAATATTTGTATATCAATTTTCTTCATTCTTTGTAATTATTGGCATTATTTCTTCATATTGTTTTTGTCTAAATGGCGGAATAATTACACTATCAACATTGTATGTTTTATTCAATAATTTTCGTGCTTTTACACTTCCAAGTGTTCCTGTTAAACCATAAATATTATGACCATAACGTCTAAAATATGTTACATTTGCAATAAAATTTGTTGTTAAACTTTCTGCAGTTATTTTTGCACCATGTTTTATTTGTAAAGATTGATGTAATCCATTATTCCAATGCATATTTTGTTGCACAATTCCAGTATTATTTGCATCCATAGGTGCAATTTTTCCATTTTTAACAATATAATGTTGTTCATTTTTACATCGATATTTTGCATGAATGCCACTATCAATCCATTTTGTTAATTGAAGATCGGTTACCAATTCTCGTAAATGTTTGGGAATTTTTATTTCCGGATATTCATTAGGAATTATTTCATTATCATCCGGTAAGTTTTTTATATCTCGAAGTAATTTTCTTATATGTGTTGTGGTACAATTTTTTATAAATTCTTCTTTTGTTCCTTCGATAAGGAAAGCTTTTTCAATAATGTCAGATTTTATTGGTTGACCATCTTTGTCAATCCTATTTCCCTGCTCTATATAATAATCTTTGCCATCGATTTCTCTAATTGATTTAGCAGTTTCGCTTAACTGTATCCATATTGATGCTAAAATTGGTTCTAACAATATAGCATATCTCGGTATAGATAATCTATGCATCTTTCTTATTTCACTTGGACAACAAATAGAGATTAACGTAGTCGCCTTTCTACTGATACGATTCAGCCAATATGCACAATATAGCATATCTCGGAATTCCGATCGGGGTATTTCAGTGGGGACTTTGCTCCTGAGTGCAGCCAGGCACTCTGATTGATGGAACCAAGTACAGCTCGACGCGCTCTACAAAATGCACTATCTGAAAGATGTGGATGAGCGACGGTGCTTTAGGGGACTCACGAACACCCACACCCTCGCCCCCTCAAGAAATAAAGAAAATGGAATAATCCAACGACTGGATACAAAAATGAACATGTGTACTATACTGAGCACCACAGATTCCAAAACTGAGTAACCTGTTTGTTTCCACTATACTATTTGCGAAACTATGAGTATTACCCGAAAATTTCCGAGCGAGAAGGGGAAATCGATTTTTCGCGGTCAAAATTGAGTACTTCGAAAGTAGTAAATTCAAAAATGATAATAATATTTATTGATACCTCTCGATTGATTATGTCGTTGTTGTACAAATTCGATGTAAAAATGAACAACATTATATTGTTAAAAATGGAAAAATTGCACCTATGGATGCAAATAATACTGGAATTGT